CATTGAGTGCACATGTGGACAAGTTTGGCACGAGACATCATTAGTTTAAATTTCCACACTCAGTCTTTTACTTGGGAGATACAGAGTTTGAATTCATCGACGTTGGGAGTGCTCTCTTCTCGATGCTTCATAGAAAGTTTCTCTTATTTTTTTTAAATTTGTTGGCTGGCTGGATCTATGTATTGATGAATTAAAACCAAAGTACATTAGCAAAAGTCCAAGGATCTGGAATGAATGTAAAGAGATCAAGGAAAGGGGAATTCTTTCTCTTAGAAGGTTTCAATTTGCTCTTTAGACAGCTTTGAATTCCCTGCCCGGGCCTGTGGTCCTGGCTGTGGTCATCCAAACTTTCAATGGTATCTCTCAAAGGATTTTGACTCTGAGTTGTCAGGAATTTTGGCTTCTATCTCCTGTTATCTTCAAAGGCATTTTCACTAAGAATTTCCAACCCAAATTTTGGAATCCTTGTAAACATCTCATCTCTTTCCGCCCTTTGCTCTGGTAACGTGGAATATACTTAGGCCAGTGACAATCTCACAAAATATCAAGGGGGCAAATGGGAGACTGTTTACTGTCCAAACTCCGTGTGCTGAAGAGCAGTTCTGTCACTCTGAAAGTAATCATGACTAATTCAATCCTCCGATCAAAGCTGGCATCCTGGACAAACCTCAGAAAGATCATGGCCTTCAAAACTAAAGCCTGTGGCTGAGAGATGAGCAGATGTGTTGGTCTTCGTATCCACACGTGACCTGACTGGACTGGCCACTCCTCAAGAGCTGAAGTTCCCCAGACTAAAGCCTAACAGTTTCACTTAGGTAACAAAAGGTCCAATTCTTTTCATTCCAAAACTATCAGAGACTCAAGGCAGAAGTTTGATAAAAGTTTGAAAAACAAAACAGAACATCAACAACAACAAGGGAAAGTACAGAAGCGTTTGCCTATCCTGCTATTTGATTTGACTTCAGAGGTGGAAAAAGTCTAATTTTCCTCCAACATTCAGTGGGCATCTACCTCTCTTATTCAACTTCTGTCCGTCATTTATGATAATAATCTCTTGGTGACACATTGTCTCTTAGGCTTGGTATATCTTGATTTTTAATCTACCTTTATTTCTGATAATGTCATAACAAATAAACGAGAAGATAAATATAATTCAAAAGCTAAAAAGAGTCTCTTCCTCCACCATCTTACTATCTAGTCAACAAAAAACCCACCAAATTCACTTTTTTTTTTTTTTTGCTGAGGACAATTGTCACTAAGCTAACATCTGTGCCAATCTTCCTGTACTTTGTGTGTGGGGTACAGCCACAGCATGACCACCAAGGAGTGGTGTAGGTCTGTGTCCGGGATCCAAACCCTGGCCGCCAAAGCAGAGTGTGCTGAACTTAACCACTAGGCATGGGGCCAGCCCCCAAATTCATTTTTAGTACATGCCCTAAAATACCATCTATTTTATTAAACAAGACCATACTACACCCACTTTTTTGCAAAAACTTTTTTTTGATTCAACAGTATATCTTTGACTTCTTTTCAGGTGGGCTTGTTTAGGTTAAATGAACATAAAGCTTCAACTTGCTCATCTAGAAAATGGGAATCTTATCTATCGTACTTGTTAAAATAAAATAAATTAGAGACCAAGCTTGCAAATCCTCCAAACAGACAAGACCAGTTAAGCCACGTAAGAGAAACCTAATCTAGCTTATTTCAGAAACGGAAGCAAAACAGATGATTTCTTGTAAATGCCTCTGATAATCATAAATGGAACTTAAGTCATCTTCCTAAAGTGACTTAAGACAATCACTTTTGAACAATCCCGTCGTCTGGAAATCCCAACCAGTCTTTGCAGGGTTAAACAACGTCCTCATGTTCTCTGTATAAGCCATCCTGTAACAGCGGGACTCTGAGCATCATAACATTCTGGGCTTGATGTCTTCCCTGTTCATGAAGAGTTTGTTTCTCACACAATAAAATATTTACATCAAGTCAGGATCTCTGATTTTCTTTTAAACTTAGATAATTGTTGAGTGGGTTATGCCTGGTATATAGTAGACTCTCAAACTTGTAAATATATTCATTATTACTATGGAGGATAATAGTGCAATCCAGATGTGGTAGCTATTAGCCATCTCAATATCTGCTATTCCTCATTTACACCATTATAATACATTTTGCATACACTAAGTACAGATCATATTCCATGAAAGGGGTCTATTCAAACCAGTCTTCGAGTCATCGCATCTTTATCTTCTATTCGCCCTACTATACGTAAATAAAAGTGCATAAAAGTTATTGGGTATTTGTTGCAAAATTGCACACCAGCTCTCTTTTGCCGAGAGAAACATCTACAGGCTTTATTTCTGCAGGAGGCACTGGCAGATAAAAGCCTGTCTCAGTATCATTTCAGAAACACCTAAGGCATCAGGGCTGGAAGGTTTTGTGATTGCCCAATATATCCCTGTTATCTTTCCTACAGTCATACTTTTAAAATATTTTTTGAGTTTTTTAGCCAAAATAACAAAGTAAAACTACACCGAGAATCATGTATGCCCTCTTTTAAAATGTTACTTGGATTTCCAAAAAGAAATCTATCTGCATTGCTACCTACCTCGGCTCTTATTTTCTTGATAACCTAGGTCTTATTTGTCTATGTTTCTCTTGCCCTTCTTTCTTCCTTTGACTCTGGTGAATATAGTAATTACTTGTCTAATATATTACACCAAAGAGAGGGCAAAGAGGGAGATGGCTGATTGCGAACTTCCCCCAGGCATGCTACTTTATAAAAATGGAAATCCTCAATATCTGGGACATGAGAAATCTGCATTGAGAGTAAAAATTGTAGGATGCAGCCCTCTGCTTTCCTTCTGGCCAAAAGACCTGGCATGAATCACTTAGCTTCTCTGAGAAACTCTGAGGCTGGAGGAAAGATCTGTTACCAGGTCCTTCTCTCTCATGCTGACCCCGCGCCGGAGGACAAGTCCTTTGAACAGATTGTGCCAGTCTGGTGCCAGGTAATTGGCTTTCAACTCCTCTTCCTGCAGATCCCCTGCTTCCTGCAGGAGTGCAGAGCATACACTTTCCTGCTCTGAAGCCCAAGTGCAGAGCACCGGGACATCAGGAAACCTTCACTGCTTGCAGTCCTGCGGTGCAGACTGCAAGCAAGCTCAAAGTGCAGGTTTTCTGGTTAAGGATCGCTTCAGTGAAGTCTTAAACAGAATGACGTTGACTCACAATGAAAACTGATATTTTTAGCGTAATCCACATGTCAATTCTGGATCATTTGCAATACGTATTACAAATTTTGATGTCTTTCCTGACATCAATTTCATGCTCAGTTGGGCTTTCAGATATTTTTAAAGTTCTGTGTTGTTTTGCTTTTTTTGTTTTGTTCCCCTGAAAATGAAGACAGTTTGATGTTTGGGAAAAACATATTGCTATGCAAATAGACCCAGAATAACAGAGGGAGGCAGTCAGATAACCCACCTTGGCCTCTTCCCTGAGAATCTCAGTTTGGCCACTCTCCAATCGAGACTGCTGGTCGGGGTAACTGGAGTTACTGACGGTGCAGTTATAAAGCCAGCTCCACACGGTCAATGTAGGGCAGGAGGTGGCACAGACCGGCTTCTGGCAGGGAAGAGTGACAACTACTGAACAGCTTTTCTGTCAAGCCACAGTCGTCAGCTGACGGGGTGTGATGAGCACGGGGCGGCTCTTGTCTAGAGCTAGCATCTTAAATCCCGTGTGCAAAGTTCAAGTTGTGCACATTCAGGAGATGACAACATAGTAAGTGGTTGGCACGTTTCAGTGGGCTAGTCCGTGCGGCACAGCCTGGGAGGAGAGCAGATTTTAGAGCACACAGCTCAACAGGAAAAGAAGAGCGCCCGGGTGTTCCTTTGCTAGCCCAGATGGGAGAAGGGTAAGCATAGGCCCCGAGGACTGGTGCCAGGTCCCGGGCTCTGCCCCGGCATGGCGACGGCCTTGTCTCAGGCTGTGCTGCGCTCGTTTTGCCCACTTGGCCGCTCCTCCTACACTCCGGCTTCTATGCCATCTCTTCCTGGGCTGGTGGCCCTGAGATGGCCCTGGAGGAAACGGCAGGCTCAGGGAATCCGCTGTGCGCCTTCAAATCCCAGCCACATGCTGCCGGTTAGGTGAACACAGAGAAGAGGCAACCATCTCCAAGAATCACATTGACACTGCGGAAGGGCCATAACGTCCTTACCGAGCAGTGGCTCGCGTGGGAGGCGCGCTGTAGCAGATGCTCAGAGGACCCTGTGGATATCCATTATTTGCAATCTGTCTTTAGTCTTCAATACAAGTAAAGATTAGTCAATTCCTTAAGATCCAGGGAGTCTCTAATCTGTTACCAGATGCTGAAAATACAAATCGTGCCTCGACAGCCTCAGAAAAAAAAGACCATTTTAAAAAATGCGATTTTTCCCTTTCCTTCTACTCAAGGTCATTATGAATCATAGGAATTAGTATTTCAAAGATGTGCATACATGTTTTTCAAAGCATGATGAAATACTGATTCTCAGTGCAACTAGAGAAAGTACAGAAACAGGTTCCCCGAGAGCTTGTTAGCCGCGAGCATTGGATTTTCACTAGCAGAATAAAATCAGCTGCAAGGGGTTCGATTGGTCTCTGTCGCTTCCCCGGGCTTGTGTTTAACCTCTGCGCCCCATGGGTTAATTTAACTGTACTGACATCTTTGGCCTTATAGATGCATGGATTGTAAACCAAACACTTGCATACATACTTTTTATGTATTAAATTTTCTATTTTTGTGAACTATATGGGTAAAAACTGAGAAAGATGAAATTAAAATTTTTAATGTATTATGAAAACCAGTAGCTTCATGGCTCACTTTGGTAAATTTGTCTGACTCTTCCATTTGATTGATTGTTATGGTAAGGATCAGATATTTTCCTTGACAGTTATTTACTTAATTTTACCAAAACTATTTTTTTAAACTACAAGTATGCTACTTTTATTTTATTTTTTCTTTATGCATTAGGATGCTTGTTTTGTATTTCTAAATGATTATACTTTTGCTATACTTTTAATCTATACTTTATAAGATTTTATAAGTAAAGCCCTATTAATGATGGTGGTTGATCTAAAAAACAGCAACGTGTGTAAGTAATTATTGATTTGTTTTTATAGAAGTTCAATTTATACAGTCTTAAGAACATGTAATGCATTCGTTACCACCACTTTGAGGGAAAAATGGCAACCATTAAATTTTATAGACTTTAGGTAGCAATTAAAATGAATCACAGAAAGCAGTTCTCCCTCCAGACTTTGCAAATAAGGAGTGCTGTATCTCTCTCAGGTAGAGTGCAGAGCAGTATTTCTTGGACTCTCACTATCACACTGTAGCACATGTTGGTCTGTGATGACTGGCACCTCATTCAGCAAAATGAATCCATGTTGTGCTAGACAAAGGATTTAGGCTGGATGCAGAATTGGATGTCATCATTCCAATTCTATTTCCTATGCTGAGTTACGCCACGGTAAGTCACACAACCAAAAAGTGAGAGTCCTTATTTTGATTTACTCTTTCTATCCATTCCTACTACTTCTGTCCATTCCGGGCACTCCTTCACTCATTCTTCTTTGCTGCCTTGCACTGGGCCCCGGCTTCCATTCTTTTCTTTTTAAAATGTATCCTTTATATGATAGCTAGAGAGATTCCTATAAAAAGAAAATTTGACTGTCAGCTCACTTGCTTTGAGAACGTTTCAGTTGCCTTTTCCCATAGGACAAAGTCTAAACCTTCTAGAAGGGAGTGCAGAGCCATCCATGAGCTGCTCCTTGCTTATCTCTCCCTTCTCATCTACCATTCCTCTCTGCCACATTAAAAAAAAAAAAAAAAAAACTAGATAGTGAAACTTAGACATAGAAAACCATATGAGGCATCTATGTAGTCACCATAAAGACTGAACAGATACTAAGATTTTTCCTATGTTTGTGGTAAATGTGCCTAAAGCTCCACCTCTCATTTCTTTCTGCTCTAATCTTTCCCAAAGACATCGATATTCTTAAAGATCACAGGCACGTTTTCATACCTCTATTATACACACACGTATCCATAAAGAAAATAGACTACACACAATCATACAACATAATGCAAGATGTTCTCTTTAAATATTTTCTTTTTTGAATTTTAGATACAAAGAATTAGATAAACGATATTCCACAATTTATAGTGTACTGTGTTCATCAGTCCACACAAAGTCACTCTTTTTTTTCATTTTAATGTTATTTCTCTTTGTCTCCCACCCCCACAAGAGCCCCTACTTAAATGCATGCTCGCTAAATGAATTTTTGAAATATATCTAACATTAAGTAGGATTTTAAATAGGGCAATCAGGGGAGATCTCTTTGAAAAAGAAACATTTGGGAAAGACTTAATGGAGGTGAGGAGTTTGCCAAAGGGATATCTGAGAGACGAGCATCGGGGAGAGAACAGTCTGCACAAAGGCCCAAGTCGTCTTTGAGGAAATTTCTGCACCTATGTCCAGTGAGTGTAATATCACCAAGGAAATGGCCACTGTGATGTTCAATGGAACATCAAGGCAGTCGAGGGCCTCTCAGAGTATCTTATGTCAAGAAGTGGAGTCAGGCTGTGGCTCACAGCCACTCTGACAGGTGAGCCACAGTTGCTTTGTGGGTCTCCAGGAGTTTTTGTCCCTTTAAATTCCATTCTAATAATGCACAGAAAGACCAGGTATTCCTTTCCCCAGTGCCCTCTGGCAAATGACTGCAGGTCCCTCTAGGAAAAAGGCCAGGAGGATTCAGGGTATATACTTGTGCCTCTGCCGGAGGGCCCTTCTTTTAAGGGGCTTGGCTTCCAACTCATTTGAGGTGCTCTGTTTAAACTGAGCTCCCTGGGGCCTGGGTAGGATGATGTGAACGTCTTCCACAGCACAGCAAGTTATGATTCTGCCCATCACATCTCAAAAATGTATGTATTAAGCAACAACTTGGTAGATTGCCCATCTGTTTTATCACTACAGACCCCTGCATGTCAAAATGTCTGATATGACTCCACCCCTGGCCCTTGTGGGTAATTGTGGTAATTGTACCACCTCCTCTCTGAGCTCTCCTACTCCGGGATTCATTATTCCCACAGAGCCCAAGATGTGAGCCTGGTTTCATCCTCCACCATCATCTCCATCCTGGAGAGGTGCCATCACAGAGCTTTTCTAGGATCTCAATGCCCCTCTTCCTAATACATTTCTTAGTGATGAGGAGAAAGGAATGGTCTCCAGGCCTTTTAAAACTGTCTGATAGGGGGAATTGAAAGGTATGCATGTAGTTCATCCAATCCAACACTCTTCACTTCCTGAGCCTTCAGACATCTTCCTCTACAGTATGCCAGGGAAGTTCTGGCATTGCACCTTATTGATCATAAGCCACCACTGAGTCAAGGCAACCATGAGCCAACTCAGCCACTCCTAAGCACTTGAATCAACACATTAAATCTCAAATCCTAGGTGAGTCTATTTACATCAATAAATTTAGCCAGATAAAAACTTTCCTTGGTCTAACACCTAGGATTCTTTTCCCATATTTGCTCTCCAGATTCCCACAGGTACAATTTGGAAAGTCCTACAGTTATTCCCAAGACCAGGCTTCACACCTGCTAGGCCTGGGTTCTTCAGGAATGTGTCTCTTTATGAAACTGCAGTCAAAGAGGAATTGTGGGAACGAATCCTGAGGACAAGCAGCATTCCTTGTGAGGCAATTGTCCCTGAAGCAGTTACTTAAGGCTGTTTGGGAGAACCTTCTTCCCTCAGATCAGGTGGGGGGATTGCCTTAACCAGCAAGGGGATTTCAAGGATCAGTGGTTTCAACGTTCTCAGCTTATTTGTATCTGCCCAAAGTTCTTCCTCTGCTATCTCAGGATGCCTCTCTCGCACTACCATGTCCCAGACCTTCACAGAAGAAACCTGCTGGGACTGAGCAACACGGCTCTGCAGTCCTGCAATCCACCATGAGGGAGTCCTTCAAAGGTATCATAGAGCCTGGTTCCTACTCCTACAACCCAGCCCACCGAGAATCAAGCTAGTAAGGCAAGATATTCAATGTATCTTCTTCCCTCAGTACAAGCTCTACAGTCAATAGACTCAGGCCTTCGCCCTGCTATCATAATTACCATTATTGCCAGAACAACTCATTGTCACAGCTCCTAATGTCTTGATTTCTAATAGCACTTCTTTCCACAGCAGTGTGTCTCATGAATAATCAATGCCGACACGTGTCATGAATTAGCAAGGTCTTACCCCACCTGCCCAGGATTGGGGTTTTTCCTGAGCTCCTCGAACATGTGAGAAACTCAATCCCGGAATCCCATTTTGAAGGTTCCTTTCTTGAGGCCCGATCTGCTAAAAACTACTGTCTTAGTTAGAACCCTGATAAGACAAAAATGGCACAACCACATGAGACAGTTGAAGGAAGTTTAATAAAGGCACCATTTACAAAGGCATGGGCAGGTCAAAGGGAAACAAAGAATAGTGCAGGACCCGAGACTAGCAATAGTAGATCCCTTAGCAGAACCTGAAGAGGAGGGGAAGAGGGTGACACCAGCAGGACAAGGAGTAGCTGGAAAGAGTGCCACCTGATAGGACCGCACCTTTCAGCAGAGGCACGTAATCAGGCCCCAGCAACATGACAGGAAGGAAGTTGGGTATAAATAAGTCAAACTCACTGTGCTCCTCCTGCCGTTGATCTCCTGGGGGTGCTTCTCGTCGGCCAAACCCAACTGAAAGCCATATTCAAGGAAGCCCCTTGATTCCGTCTATAAATTACGAATCAGCAAAAGAGAAAAAGGTGGGAAACCACTATGATTACAGCACACAGAGATGATCATTTACAACTTTTAAATTTACATAACCTTCCAACAATTTGGATAGCTTTTATGAATTACTGCTCCATTGATTTATTTCTATCAATATCCCACTGCTCTAATACTGTTGTTTTATAATGCATTATAATGTTGGGTAGAGCCTGCTTCTTCTGGTAGACTTTTGTGAGAAAATTATTAGCAATTCTAGAATGTCTATTTTTAATAATCTTGTTCAAAAGCATCATTAGAATTATACGCGGAATTGTATTTAGTTTACAAATTATAATTAGGGATATTTAATAACAACATTACATTTTCATTCAAGTGGATTTAAACTCTAAAATGCCATATTGACCGAAAGTGAAAGCAAGCAAAACCAGTCTTGCTCTTGGGCTTTTTGTCTCCACAGGGCCTCTCCTGACCACGCTTATCTAAAGCAGTCTCTGACCTCCTGCACACTCACGGCCCACATTCTTGCTCTTATTCTGTTTTAATGAACTCTACTACTTGCCTTTATAATTCTTACTGTCAATTCTGATTACAATGGTCAATGAGTGTCTTCTCAGCTCCCTTTTGCCATTTTATCCCCCCTCTAGCACAGACCAGGGGATACATAGGTATTAAATAAATATTAATTTTTTAAAACACACTTGTGATGTTCAGGAAATCAGGGTACATATTAAAAAGTGTACTGAAGGGTTCAAACAATGTTTCAAACAGGCGAGATGGATATTCTTTACATTCTGTTGCAATAAGGCTTGCCTAGGAATCTATATTTGTGAGGGAACTCTGACAACACTTATTTTAACTAGATGATTGACATGAGCAGCTTGCTGACATGAAGCAGAGTGGAAGGAGTCCTCATCTGGCTGTGGGTAAAAATGTTTGGTAAAACTGACAGTGAAAAATCACCAAGAAACGACGGGAGTTCCCCTATACTATTGCAAATAGGCCCTTTAGAAGCCAAAGCCAGCCTGGGATTTATTCAACCACAGATCACACTGATTTGTTTCTTTGTTTGCTTTGCCAGCAGTGTTTACTTTTTAAATTTTTACTTTAAATATTTTATATGGGCCACCCTCTTCAGCTTGCTCCTGTTCCCCGTTGATTGCTTTATACTGAGCTACTACAAAGTACATCACCTGCCCTCAGAGAGCCAGGAATTTACCATTACAGCTTGCAAATGTAGTTATCTCTAGTTTATAGGCTAATGACTTGTATCACTAATAGTTGCATGTCTTTCTTTTCCTTTACACTGGAAATTCCTCAAGAAAAAGTTCCAATTATACAGCACAGATACAGGGTTTATATCCAGGTTTAAAGCATTCTTTGGGACCACTGAATCTTTAGTTTGTTTGCTTGTTCTTGGGCTACCAGTTTCTTCTTTATTTCTGGCATCCGGATGTTATACTTTATTTCTTCCAGGTCAAATATGTATTTTTTCATGTTTTTGTAATATACTGAGCAAAAATTTCTGTTTGTTTTGGAATGAAACATAAAAATTAGCTAAGTTTTGAAACAGAAATTGGGTTTCGAATCTTATCAACTTTCCTTTAGGCATCTATGTGAATGACTCAGTTTTTTTCATTTGCTCTATCAATGTAGACAATAGCGTTGATAGAATATCTAATATTGAGCCATCCTTACATTCATGATAAACTTTCTTGGTCACGTTTTATAATTCTTTAAAGACTTTAGCAAACAGCAATCACATGAAAGGACTAAATATTTATTTTGTGTTCAGGATTATTCATTTCTTGGAAGTTTCATAGAAATCTATTGTAAACCTTCAGAGCCTTGTTCCTCTCCGTCGGTCAGATCTTGACTATGTCAATCTCTTCTTTGTTTATTGTTTCATTCCAGTTTTCTACATTTTCTTGAGCCAATTGTGATAACTTATCACAGTAAAATGTACCATTTCCCCACAACATAAAACAACCTGGGTGTAGGGGAGCATCTGCAGTGAAAATGGCCCAATAAGCAGCTCTAAGCGCCTGTACCTCCATAGAAACACTGAAAAGTCACTCAGAAACAGAATCAACTTTGTCAGAACTCTGGGAAACAGTCAAAGGTTTACAGCACTCAGGTTAACCCTGAATCAAAGAAAAGGCAACTAGAAAATAATAGGAAATATTTTTGATGTTTCAGTTGCCTTTAGCCCACTCCCTCCTGGCTCCCAGCAGTCTGGAGGATGGCAGGCCCTGTTCCCCGTGTGGGACCCTGACACCTGGCTCCTGAGGGAGCACAGCAGATCTTACTCACAAGTAATTGTGTTTATCTATCTAACCTGTCTGGGGGCTACCAGAACTCACTCAGGGTGGGAAAGCATCAGGTGTTCCTCACAAACGTTGGAAGGTTAACTGAACAACTCTCAACAAACCTGGGCAAAATATAAAAATATTTGGATGTTAAACAACATAGTATTAAACAACCAATGGGTTAAAAAAGGAATCACAAGGGAAATTAGAAAATACTTAGAAGAAATGAAAATGAAAACACAGCATACCAAAAGTTATGAGATGAAGTCTAAATGCCACTCAGTTGTTCACATTAAAATGATTAATTTTATGTCTTGTCAGTTTCATTCCAATAAAAATATGTTTAAATATATGGATATAAAATGTATATATTATAATATTTGCAGATTTAAATCCTGACAGATACATATATTTCTAATATATTTTGGCTTAATAAGAAGTCTTTATTTTCTCATCTCTATGTTTTGTAGGCCTCTTCCTCAAGGACTTATTTTCTTCTTTTTGAAGTACATCCCCTAGTACATACTTAAGAAAAGGTCGATAGTTGATCGAATTTTTGTTCTATTCATGTATAAAATTATCATTTTACTCTCACTCTTTAAGTAGGGCTTGGCTGACTGTCGTAGTTTAAAATTCTATGTTCAGGCTATTTTCCCTCAGAATGTGGAGATATTACCCCATTGTCTTCTAGTACCTACTGTTGCCAAGAAGTTTAATGTCTACCTGTTTCTTCTTGCTTTATAAGTAGTCTATTCCTTCCCTCTAGGATATTTTAAAGCTTCCATTTACCACTGATTTCCTGTGTTTGTGCGAAAGGTTGGTTTGTTTGCTTTATAAATCCATCCCAGCACTTAATTGGCCTTTTCAGTTTGAAAATTCTCTTCCTTTATTACAAACATTCTATTGCTTCTTTAAATATTTATTCTTAGCATTCTCTCCTACTGACACTGATTTTAATTAGATGTTGGGAAGCCTGGGTTTATTCTATATTTCTCTTTTATAATTTCTCTTTATCCATTTTTGAAACATTAGAAAGATTCTCCCATTCAGTTCTTTAGTTTACTAAATCTCTTTTCCTTAATGTCCATTTTCCTTTGATACATTTTTACTGATATCATTCTCTGGCTTTTAGAAATAAATTATTTTAAAGCCCTATTTTACTACTCTGTAAATTCTGTTTCTTCGGGTGTAAGTTCTTCATTTTGTTATCATTGTCTCATTTTCATGGTGAGTTTTGAAGTTGAGATGCACTGTTTCATTTACCTGCTGTATCTGTTTATCACAGCCTGCTGGCGAGGAAGGCAGAGTGTGTGCTGTGGCTCATATTCAGCCTTTTTTTCCGGAAGAGAGGTGGAAGTTCTTGATGAGCCATTCAGCAAAGGACTTCATTGGCTAGTCTTCTGTATGTGTCCTCCAAGCTCCTCCCAGCTGTAATCAGTCATCTGGGGCACTGCCGTGTATCTTTCTGACCCACTGAATCCCAGGTAAAGGCAGACCTCTGTCACTGCAGCCTCGCGGAAGCTGTGAGGCGGGATGCTGTGTAGTGTGAGCTCTCTACTTGTGATGCCGTACTTCTAGGAAGCCCTCTGTAAATTGCTGCTGGATCCGCTTCTACTTCTGGCATGTCTCTCTTCTGAGTGAGGAGTAGTCTTGTTCTTGCTGCAACACTTGGTTCTTCTGCAACTGTCTCATGCACAGTTTCAGCTGTCATTTCATTTTTCAGACTGATTCTATTTATTTTATGATATACAGAGATTCCTCATAGCCTCTAGTTTCCCTTTTGCGTTACAGTAGGATTGCAAATTTTAAAATTATTTTCTGTGTTTTCTAGAGATCTGCAGCAAGAGAAGAAGGCTGTAGCACATGCCTAATCAACAATCTTGAAAAGGAAGTTTGGCCTTTCTTTCTAAAACGCTGGCCTAACTGTGTAATAACCCTGCTACCTCCACCACCCTCATAATAACAAAATCTATTTCCCTTCATTCTCTAAACTTTCAAGATATCCTTATCAATCTCACAGGGCTCTTACTTACCCAACTTTCTATATTTATTTCCTCTCCTTTCCCCGCTGCATTCTCTTACCACACAGAGAACTCCTTCCTCTCCCATCCCCCAGCTCTTCCCTCTGTGACCTCACTTCCTCTTATTCTCTTCCTTGCTTGCTTGTTTCAATCAGGCTGGCCTTTGCTCTTTCTCCAACATATCAAACAAGCAACTACCTCAAGACTTCCACATTTGTTTTTTCCCCTGTCTAAAACGCTCTTTCTTCACTTCTTGATTCACATGTGACCTTCTGAGCGAGGGCTTGTCTGATTACTCCGATTAAATGGCAGCCCTGTCCAGACTTCCTGGTTCTCTTTCTCTGCTTTCTCATCAGCATTCTATTTTTGTCTATTCCTTGGTTAATTTATTCTTCTCACCACCTGTGCTGGAATCAAGGGCCAAAGAAAACCAAATGTACTTATCCTCAATATACTAGTAAAAAGTGTTTGGGAAAAGAAAGATTTGAAACTCTAGGCTAAATTTGGGATTCAGAATTACCAGTGGAGTGATAAAAGTCATGAAATCATCAAGTAGCTATGTTTCTTTATAGTAGGGTGAGTCAAATGTTACTTTTTAGAGTTTGTAGTCCCAGATGTACCAAACAATGTTTCATACGACTGGTAGTTTCATTCAGAAGAAACCCAGACAGACTCCCTGTTGTCATGTAGTTGGGAAGTTCCCACAGACAGTCAGCTGCAGCTGCTTCCTCTCCTTCTGCATCATCCCCTTCTTCTTATGATCAGTTCCAGAAACAGACAAACTCAGCATAAGCCACCAGGAATATCCACATCTGAAGAACTGAAGAGGGATGGGCTGACTCTCTCAGGAGCTGATGAGTTCCCAATGAGGAACAGTTCAGAGGCAGGATGAACAATTATTCCAACTGACCATCCAACTGATTTGATTGACAAATGACTAGGAAACAATTTGTGAAAGCAAACTGATTAACAGGAAGATTTTTTTTTTTGGTAAAGAAGATTTGCCCTGAGCTAACATCTGTGTCAGTCTTCCTCTATTTTGTATGTAGGTCACCACCTCAGCATGGCTGATGAGTGGTATAGATCCACGCCCAGGATCCACACCTACAAACCCGGGCTGCCGAAGTGGAGTACACTGAACTTAACCGCTACGCCACGGGGCCAGCCCCAACAAGAATATTTTTAAATAGTCATTTGCCCAAAAAGAAGTACTGTCAGTTGTTAGGTTTTAATTCTTGTTGACCTGGTACATCATGGAGTTTTCTCATAACCATTATGCTTATAACAATTACTTGAGACATGAGGCACAAATAACTGCTCATGAGATGATGCATTTTTATTCATTTCTCTAAACAACTTATTCTTACTTTTAATATCATGAAAATTTTTCAAATATAGTGTCTTATTTTGTAGGTTCATAAAACAAATGTTAGAACAAAACAATTGTCCAGCAACAGTGAATTAGTGGAAAATATCTAAATGTCATAAATGTGGAAGTATTGGGACAAATAATCATTCAGCGATCGAGGATCGTAGCAGCAAACAAAGTTTTAACAATATGACATTTATTAGAACAACTGAAACACACAAAAATAGGTTGTTACTTGGAGCATCTAAATTTCTAGGAATAAAACCACAGTTGGAGAAACGGGTGAAGTCTCAGCCCTGCTCAGAGCCCTTGAATAGATTCCAACTGGACTTAGAATGAAATCCAAAATATTTACAATTGCCTATGAGATACTGCGTGATTTGTCCCCTGCCTGACTCTGCAGTCACATATCCAAACTGCACCCCTCCTCCACCCTCTCACTAGCTGATCGTCGACATCCTGGCCTCCACTGAGCACTCACAGCACCTGAGAGCCTTGGCCCATAATGCATCCTCTATGTGGAACATTTTCCCCTCACTGTTTGCCTATGTTTTCCCATTTTAGCTCTTTTTCCTTTACATGTGTAATTATTTTATGAAACTCTGTATCTCCCATCAGACTGTACGTTGTATAGGGACAGGGACTTCTCAGTTATTGCTCACCAGTGTATCTCAATACCCAGCACAACCCCCAACACACTGTAGGTGTCCCAGAAACATTTATGGAATGCATGATCAAATGAAAAAGTGAACGAAATCTCCAATTCCAACTAAGCATTTATTAAAAAGTATGTAAAACATGATCCCATATTACAGGAAATCATATATAGAATGGGAAGTTGTGTCCCAAGGTCTTAATAATGATTATCACAGGGTGAGTGAGGTAGAGAATATGTTTTTGGTTTTGCATTGTTAATTTTTATTTATCCATTTTGGAGAAATGAACACATATTGTCTTTGAAATACAAAAATAATTAAAAAAATATAGATCCTTTTCTTGGACATTTTTTATTACTAACCCAAATTGTTGGACATTCAAACTACTATTATTTGCCATTAGAAGTAATACACAATGAGAATTGATTACCAAAAATTTGCAAAGAAATTAATAAGTAGAAAATTAGAAAAATTCTTGAAGTAGGCAAAAGAGAGTAAAGATGCAAAAATATGACAAACCAAACCAGTGCAACAGGGTGTTGTGCGTTGTCAGAACCTTTAAATGCGACCACAGGCTTTGGTCAAATATCGACTCAATCACTTGGCTATGTGTACTTTTCATGTCTCAGTCTCCTTATTTAAAAGATTGGATTTTCACAGTACTGACGTCATAACATTATTATGAGGAACAAATGATATACTATATGTAAATATTCTTAGAATATTGCTTAGCACAAAAATAACTGCGTTTTAAGTAGTGTCCCTTAAAAACTGATATGCACCCTGAACCTCAGAATGTGACTTTATTTGGATCATACAATATTTGTCCTTTTGCGTCGGGCTTATTTTACTTAGCATAATGTCATCAAGGTTCATCCATGTTACAGCACGTGTCAGAATTTCCTTCCTTTTTAAGGCTGAACAGTATCCCATTGTATGCATATGCCACACTTTGTTTATCCACTCATCTGTTGATAGACATTTGGATTGTTTCCATCTTTTAGCTATTGTGAATAATGTTGCTATGAACATTTGTGTAAGAGTTTTGTGTGGACCCAGGTTTTCCTCTGTCTTGGATACATATCGAGAAGTGGATTGCTGGGTTATAGAGTAACTCCATGATTAAACTGCCAGAAAGTGACGGCATCATTTTACATCCCAACAAGCTATGTGTGAGGCTTCCAACTTTTCCACAAACTCATCAGCCGTTGCCTGCCTTTGTTATTTTAGTCTTCTGAGTGGGTGTGAAGTGGTGTCTTACTGTGGTTTTGGTGACTAATGATGTTGAGCACCTTTTTATGTGCTTACGGCCATTTTTGTATCTTCTTTGAAGAAATTTCTATTCAAATCCTTTGCACGTTTTTAAATTGGGGTTTTTGTTCTATTTATTCTTGAGTTGTAAGACTTTGTTTACTCTGATTGCTTCATATCTTGTTATTAATTTTACTTTCTCCAGGGTCAATTCTGCTCCTTCCGTCATATGTTTTGAAATTTTAATCTTTTCCCTGAAATTTTGTCTTCGGATATACCATTTCTCATTTATGTCATTCTGTTGTCTTATATTCTATGCCAGGGAGTTGATGTTTTCTTTAATTTCCAGGAGTGAAAATTGGGTAATCTAAAACTTCTTTAGAGAATACAAGTAAAATCTGTCAAAAATTTTTACACTTACTTGCTGTGTTATTTAAAGGTTCCTAATGTTCTCCATCAGCTTGGTTCAAATTGTACTATAAACAATATTTTCTGGATTTGAAGTATTATCTTGGCTCTTTTATCTTAATTTTAGTGGGGATGAATTACCTTCATTTTTGTTTCTTTCATTTCTTTTCTGTGATTTGCGGGTATGTAGCGGGCAGGGCTGGAAATATATATTATTCTGCCTTTTCTCTTGAAACTCTGTAGTAGTTTTGGCTTGAACAGCAGCTACAATAATATGCTACTACATGGACAGTGTTATAGATTTTGCCAAAAGTAAAATAAAGCTGATACTTTCAACCTTCTTTAGTACTTAGGTTGTTTTCTAAAATCAAGCAAGTCCTGCCAAGTCCACTGCACCTTCACTGTCATGCAGTATCACACCCAGGCCAACTCGAGAATGTGCCTTTTGCTCGCTCCAGGGCATGATCTCTTAATAGCTGACCTCGAAATCTACCACTGATTGTAAAACCTCAAAATAAATTACAGTCATCCAAGACAATTACATAGTGGTTCTATTCTGGAAAATACTAGCCTCATCATCTCTGGCGAAGTGTTGATTTTCCTTTTGAAAACTCTACATTTATAGGAATTAAAGGATTAACCAATGACATAGAGTCAGCTCAAGGAGTGGGAGTACAATTTCTTTAATTTTCAGGCCAAGTCTCTAACCACTAAACCACACTACCATTCCCTCTAATTTCTCCTTTAGGTAATAGGTGTAAAAATACGTTTTAGATGATGAGATAAAATTGGAAGTTAGGTTACTGGGTTGGCTTTCACATCCCATCTTTGCCACTAAGACAAAAAAATCCACAATGAGTAAATGGGGCCAAAGGGTTTCTTAGCAAAATAAAGTTAATGGAGCCTCTAAATAAATTCACACCACAAAACCAATGAGGCAGTTAGAAATTCCCTGAGACCTCCAAAGTCGGAAGTCTTCTAGCGCTTACTGGAAAATGATACAGTTAAGATGATGGAGCTTTTCATACAAAGGGAACTTTCTTTCCAGAAATTCTTGGCAATTTTATCTTCAGGGAATATTTCTATGTTATTTGATGTGTTATTTTGAAATTTAAAACTCATATAATAAATTAAGAAGATGTTTTACTTCTCTGCAATGATCTTAGTCACCAGTGTCAAGTCACCAAATTGGAAACATGGACATTCTGCAACGTGATCGTCATTAAAAATCTAGGAGCGGTTTCAGTAGCCATTTCTTGTAGAAACTTGTACCATTGTTTCCATTACAAAATGAACATTCCTCCTAACTCCAGACGTGTGAGTTCTAATCACATTACTGAGTTATTAATATAGCTGACCAAGTAGGTGAAGCTATATTCAAACCTTGGTATCAATATTTGTAAAATAGGGCTATGAGTTCCTATCCTATCTACTT